CATCTATTAACTTTAGTGCTCCATTAAGTAACATGCTGTTGATGAAGTAAATAAAGCACAGATTCATAGAACATTAAATTTAAAGACCTCTGCAAGTCGATGTAGGTATATCAATAATGCTAATGGGGAATAAAAATTTCTACAAAAAATAAGCCTGGTCGGACATTTTGAATAAAAAGTCGGTCATGTAAAAGTACGAATAAAAATAGACATAAAATTCTACTGTATTGACAAAAAAGCTGTGGTAGCCTTAGGGTGCGTACAGATCTAGCAAATGCACACGAGCATTACGTTGTGCGATCTGTTCGCGTGCTGTTTTCGCGTCGCGAAAGTATATTTAATTGCATGCATGTAGCACGCATGCACTATGCGTACAGCGCGCGCAGCGCACATGCAGCACGTTCGCGGCGCTTCCGCCAGATCGGTACGCACCCTAATGCTTTGATCCACCGCCTTTCAAGCAGAGGCATGAAATTTAATTTGAAATTACACTCTCGGAAAACGTATAAAGTCCCCTACCCGCTTTGGGCCGTCGTGGCGGACTATCCCTCTACTGAGAGGAAACCCGTGCTTATCAGTAGGATATAAAAATGGTTAATTATAAAGTTTATTATGCTATGAACAATTTCGCTACAAAAGTTTGCTTCCATTCCGTTCCGCGGCAATGTAAATTGAGCCTACAAAGACAATAGCAGTAATACAATTTACACTCTGTTAACGAGAAAAGTCAATCTTACTGTCTCGCTTACACCTTTGCATTAATTACTATAATCTCCTAACTCAATTTTAATTGACTTGACCTGCCATACTTTTTTAATTGACTTGACCTGACATACTTATTCGTGTAATTAAAACGATACATAACATGATCTTTTTGCGTAGGAGTGAAAGAGATAGTTTGTCAGCAGTCAGTGTTTTCCTGTAGAACTCGGCCATGGGCAGCTTGATACACATTTCAATATTTATACACAGGTAGGAATTATAATACTCTTTATTTTATTTATTTATTTATTCATAAATAGTAACAATAGAATTCTTGTATCTATGTTAGTGTATCTACATCTAAACAAATTTGTGCCTGAACAACAGGAAAAGTTAATTCCTGCCACCAGCAAAATGGCGTATGGATGGCGAGTCATATTATCTTGCCGCCACAGTTATCAATTTGGAGTTGGACTAGACCGTATTCTGCAAACCATCGAGGTAGTCTTTTTGCGCATTATAGCGTAAAAATCATCAAGAATAAGGCTCAACTCACACTGGCGCAAAGTCGAAGCGTCGCGACGCGTCATGTTGTTATTTTCCCATTATTAAGGTACAAGGTAATTAAGGTTTGTGTTTTGCAGTGACGCGTCAGACGCCGACCTCACTGTGATCCGGGCGCGCTAATCGAGTCATGCGGTATAGTTGGAAACAGGATGCGACGCGACGTGTGGACTCTACGCCAGTGCGAGTTAAGCCATAGGCAAACATGCACGAGGCATTGCAGGCCCGCGGCAGACCCATCAGCATCCTGAAGCCATTATTGTAATGGACTCGAAGGAGGCTTATAGTTCTCTGTGTAAAACTGGCCAGAGTCTACCAGTGTAAAAGACTTGACAGTATGATTTATTTAATGTTAGTTTTACTTGCTTAAAATTATATATTACATGACGTGTTGGTAGTTGATATTTAGTAATATTTTAAGAAATCTTATCGTTGAGAAAACTCAAAACACAGAGACAATATCCCAAAAGTATTATCTACTACATCATAAGCGGTTAAAATCAATTAATTATTTTGAATATCGAAGGAATTTTAACTTAGTTTCGTTCTTAGTATTAATAATTATGACAGTTATGCTTTCGTTAAAAGATGACTTCTGCTTAGCTAAAGGAAAGATAGACAAGACAAAGGTGAATATAGGTACACAAATAATAATAATGTGCCAGACAGTCACACCCATGACCTGATCTCAAACTAGGGGATTCCTACCCTGAAAAATCCAGGCGAGAATCAACCTTAAGTCTACGACCTCCGTGGTCG